GCCGCGGCCCCGCCCTCAGGCCGCCGCCCCCCCCCCCCCCCCCGGGCCCCGCCCCCGACCCCCGCAGGGGGAAAGGCGACCCCAACAAGCCGCGGGGCAAGATGTCCTCCTACGCCTACTTCGTGCAGACCTGCCGCGAGGAGCACAAGAAGAAGCACCCGGACTCGTCCGTCAACTTCGCCGAGTTCTCGCGGAAGTGCTCGGAGCGGTGGAAGGTGAGCGGGGCCGGGCCGGGCCGAGCCGAGCCGAGCCGCGCTGAGCCCTGCCGGGCCGGCCCCGGCCCCCGCCCCTGCCGCGGGTTGCTGGGAAAAGATCGCTGGTAGCAGCTGCCGCTTAGGCGTTAGTGGGTCACCGGGCGCTTTATCTGATCCAGGCTCTTCTCCTTTCCCCTCCGTGTGTCCGCAGACAATGTCTAGCAAGGAAAAAGGAAAGTTTGAAGAAATGGCTAAAGGAGACAAAGCTCGTTACGACAGGGAGATGAAAAACTATGTTCCTCCCAAAGGCGAGAAGAAGGGAAAGAAAAAGGACCCCAACGCTCCTAAAAGACCGCCGTGAGTGCTTCTATGGCCCGGGGGGGGGGGGAGGAAAGTATTAGTTCTCACAGTCTGACTCTATTTTAGACTCTGCTAGTTTGACCCTTAATCATCACTGTCTCTCGTTGTAGATCTGCGTTCTTCCTTTTCTGTTCTGAACACCGTCCGAAAATCAAAAATGATCATCCTGGCTTGTCTATTGGAGATACAGCAAAGAAATTAGGTGAAATGTGGTCTGAACAGTCAGCCAAAGATAAACAGCCATATGAACAGAAGGCTGCAAAACTAAAGGAGAAATATGAAAAGGTACAGTGAAAGCGATAAAATAATGGTTAAGGTTGTAGAGGTCACTGTAAATGCATACTTTTTGTTTTGTACCTAAACTATATATGGTTCGTAGTTCTAAATGTTTATGTCAGCCTTTGCCAGGCTTCAGAAAGATGTGGCGTGGGAGGTATCTGGAACCCTTACAGTGAACCTGAATGTGGTTTTTACATGTCTTAAGAGATTTTACCAGTAAGACGCTTTACTTCCAGAAAACAGGTCACCTGCTTGGTAAAATACACGGTCATACTCCAGAGCAACCACGGTCATAAAATTCCTAAAACTGTCTGGGTCACGCGTTCTCTTGCCAAAAGATGCAAGCATGAAGGTCTCCAGCTTGAAACCCTCCTTTTCTGCACACGCTGTATTGGATGTGCACAGTGTAGTATTATTAAATTATTGAAGCAGTACAAATTTGTCTTCAGAGTTATATTGCCAGCAACTAAACAGCATTTTTCTTGCAGGATATTGCAGCATATCGTGCCAAGAGCAAGAGTGATGCAGGAAAAAAGGGCCCAGGTAGGCCTGCAGGATCTAAGAAGAAAGCAGAACCAGAAGAGGAGGAGGAGGAGGAGGAAGATGATGAAGAGGAGGAAGAAGATGAGGATGAAGAATAAATGAATGTCCTGCTGTAAAGATTTATGCTCAAAATCCAATATTTTGCTAAGAATGTGAACTCAAGTGCAGCTCATTGTTAGCTTCAGTATAAAAATCTGTACAGAATTGTGTATAGGTAATGTGGTTCTTTGTAGGGAGACCTCTATTTTTAATGTAAGTAGTGGCCAAGGGCTGCTACAGTTCGGTTAAAAAAAAAAAAAAAAAAAAAAAAAAAAAAAGTTGTGGAATGTTTCTGCATATTTAATGGTTTTGTTGAAACTCAGTGACTGATAGC